CATGTATGTAAATAAATTGAGAAGGACTGATATTGATCAATCTCGAAACTCACACATTTATGAGTTCATCCTTTTATGTTGGTGATATGAAGATGCTATTTCAAGAAATATTTCAGCATCTTCTGAGTCCTATTATTAGTTTCGTGATTGTGGATATACTTATTCATTTCCACATGAACATATTCACTCATGCTCACACTCTACATAAAATTTCCTATGATTCAATGTCAAAATGTAGTTTTTTGATTAAATTTAATTCGCATAATAAAACGTTGTAAAAATCAATCGTTTAATCTGTTTCATCCCTTACGAAAATTATGAAGAGCAAATTGTATATATTGTTTTTCCTTAAATCAAATTTAAATTCAAATTTTTATTGTCATTCGATTGGCATGTTCAGTAATGATAACTAAACATGAACAATAGAGATGAAAATTGATCTTTGGTTTTTTTTTGTTAAAACAATAAGACTAATTGTTTGTTATCGTTCATTTTATACATAAAATCATATTTATCATCTAAAAACATTTTCATCATAAACCGATCTATAGATTGAATAAATTTATTTGTAAATGTTTGTGTTGATGTTGTATTATTGATTTTTAATAATAACTTTTCTATATTTAAAAATTTGAATTGATATAAAATTTTTAATAGAGTCAATATTTCATTTTGATCATTTGTTATACATTTTAAATTTTTAATGTTTTTTGATAATAGTGAAAAACAATTTGTTAATATATCTTCAGTAACTAAATTCAAATAAAAATAAAGTATTAATGTTTGAATTGTGGATATTCTTGATATTAAATTTTGATGTTGTAAATAGATTTTGAAATTTATTTTCAATTCTAATAAATTAGGTATAAAATTCATGATATTAATAATAGATGATGATTGTATATGATCAAAGTTATCAAATTTTAATGATTTTATTTTTGTTAAATCGATTGTATGACATAAATCATCAATAATTTTAGACGATCGATCAATATCATTTGATAAACGATTAATTAAAATTAATGATTCAACATTCGAATAATAACGTTGTCCATCATTTTTATTAACCATGGTTGTTGAATTCGATACTTGATTATATAATTGGATATATAAGTTTTGAACAT